GACACGAGAAGGGTGTAGCTCCGCGAAGAACATAGCGATTAGTCCCCCCAGAGACCATCCGACGAGGGTCGCGGATGGGATAGATTTCGCGGCGAAGAGCAGATCGAGGTCTCTGGCAAAAGTCTGCAGGGTGGCGGTTGAGGACGCATGGGCGGGTGTTGTGCCATGTCCCTCGAGGTCGTAGAGAATGATACGATAGTCGCTCTCCAGTCCGGCGGCGTGGATGAGCGGCGCGTAGTACTCTGAGTTGGCACCAAGGCCGTGGATGAAAACAATGGTTTCTGCATCGGAGCGCGGGGATCCCAATTCACGAACGTTGATAGAGTGATTGGGACCGATCTGGGTCAAACCAACGCCGCCCCAGGTTCGATCGAGGTTGTAGGTTGGGATGCTGGATGGCTTTCGGAGGACGCGGTCGATTGTAGGGTTCGTGCTACTGGGCTCTGCAATGCGGTTGAACAGCTTTCCCAGTCCGGTGACGGTCACTTCGACTACAAATAGCGCTTCAGTCTCGAATACCAAGGACAGAGGACATTCAACATACCCAAGTCACCCGGTTGGAGGAACTTTGGCGGGTGGTGGCCAACCCCAACGCCGTGGGGGGTCCCCGTGGCAATCACATCGCCTGGCTGAAGGGTAATGCCACTGGAAACGGTCTCAATGAGCTTTGGGATCGAAAAGATGAGGTCTGCGGTGGTGCCGTCTTGACGTTTTTCGCCGTTAACATGGGTCTGGACTCGGATTTCCTCTGGTAAGGCTGCGGCTGGAACGGCAACCGGGCCCTGAGAGAGTGAGTTAAGCATCAAACCAGGTCGGCTGGAGCAAGAGTAGGAAACAAACATACCATCGGACAGAAGGTGTCTGGTGATTTCCCCAGGAAGTACTGTCGGTGGTCTCTCTGTCTCTCGCGAGCGGATAAATCATTGATAATCGTATATCCCCAGACATAGTCCATCGCATTCTTCTCCTTGACGGCGAAGCCTGCTTTCCCGATAATAACCCCCAACTCACCTTCATAATCCATCGTTTGGGTGAATTCAGGATGGGGATAGATGTCTGTGCCACTCGCAGTAATGCTGGTGCTGCGCTTGCTGAATACCGTTGGCACTTGGGGGGCTTGTATGAGATCTCCCATGAGTCTCTTTCTTCCACAGCTTTCAACAAGGAAAGGCAACTTACAATCAGATACTTTGTTATCAGCAGCAGCATAACCACTCTCGCGATATTCCTCAACATGCTTGCGGTAGTTCTCACCAATACAAAGAACATCTCGCTCCGCAAGGGGTGGCAACAGCTTCACTGAGCTCAACGGGAATGGAGGTTCTTCAGCGCGAACAACACCATCGTTGCCCAGCTCAATGACCTGGCTCAGACTGGAAAGCCGCGAGCCGGAAGCCATGGTCAACGGTTGAATTGTAGAGTCTCCAAGGTCGAGATGGCCAATACGAGATCCTCCCAGCTCGTCCTCAAAGGCAACATAGTTGAAGTAAGTCATCTTCTCTTGCAGTGGTGGAGGAACACCGGCCACGGTCAGGAACTCGGTCGGTTGAGCTTTGTGGATGCGGCCGTTGATCATGATGACATCCAGTTTCGAATGGTCTTGAAGGACAGCGATGTTGTTTAGAGGATCTCCGTTCACCAAAATGCAGTCCGCATAAAACCCGGGGAGAATCTTGCCCAACTCCTCCTCCTGCATGAAGAGCTTCGCGATTCCAGCTGTTGCAGCAACAATGGATTCCATCGGGGTGAAGTCCAGCAAATTCACAAAATGCTCCAGATCGCGAGCATACGTCCCGTGAGGACACCAGGCAAACCCGTAGTCCCCTCCTGGGAGGACCGTGATACCTCTCCTATGCATTTCCTTCAGGGCCTTTGTGGCTGTCTCCAGTTCTTTGCAGTACCCAACCTGTTCGGCCTTCTCCATCGAATACCCAAAGGGTTCCGCCTCGTACACGGTGGCATAAAGCCAATTGATCGCGGGGGCCACGACGACCCGATCTTTGACCTTTTCAAGCATCTCCATACCCTCGTCATCTGTATACGACGCATGGTAAATCACGTCAACCCCGTGTCGAGCGCATTGAATGACCGACTCTCGAGCCCGCGCATGAGAGCAGACCCGAATTCCATTGCGATGGGCTTCATCGACGCACGCAGCGGTTTCCTCGTCGCGGAAGAAACATTCCTCAGCCGATACGGTCTCGGTGATCGCCTCCCCGGACATACACAGTTTGATTTGATCGACACCGATCTTAGCCTGATGTCGAATCACTTCTCGCATCTCCAACGGGCCATCGGCAAAGGCCGTAATTCCGCCCGCAAGCTCACCCTCGCGCTTGGCGATCTCGCGGCCATTCGCCAGCAGCCTCGGTCCGGGCAGCGTGCCCCGATGAATGGCATCTCGGACGACACAGTCCAAGCGATCTTTTGCCGACGCCGCGCCGTAACACATGGTGTATCCGGAGTCCAGGTACGTGAGCGCAGACCGCGCCGTGATCAGCGTATGCTCCTCCACGCCAATGTCACCCAGTAACTCAAGCGCGATGTTGTTCCAGGTCCAATGGGTATGGGCATCGCCGAGGCCAGACATCAGCGTGCGTCCGCGACCTTGGATGACACGGACTTTGGGGTCCTCGCGCAGCGCTTCGACATCGGGCACCGTTCCTACTGAGACAATGCGCTCCCCGCAGATCAGCACATCGCCTCGATATGGGTCATTTCCCGTCGAGTCTAGAATATTGACATCCAGAAATAGTATCTTCGAATCTGCCGCGGTGCCGGCCATGTGATACGGCTTGGGTTTGAGTTTGGGATCGAACCGGAGACCGTCATGGGGAAACGGACGTCGGGATGGTGTGGTTCGGTCATGGAAGCCATTGGTTTGGATTCCAGGAGCCATTGTGGGTTCCGTTTCTCAGTCGCAAGACAGAAAGTATGATAGGAAGGACATGTACGGAGTAGATGTGGAGCAACCCGGGACGCAGCAGCATTCCTGTCTAGTTTAAATACATACTCCTCGAATGACTCCCCATGAGTGAAGTACAATGAGTGAAGCTTTCCCTCTCTTTGTACATTATACCGCAGCATCCGACGTTCAGCCATTGCTGTCCAGCATTGAATTCGAACCTGGGCAGCGGAAAAATGGTGGAACAGCCCTTGAAGGCATTGCGGGTATTGCGGAAGTCGTCACCCGGCATGCGGCACGACGACACCCTCTGTACATGTATAGGAATAGCATTATGTAGGGCCTGCATGCTATTGTGCAAAGAGCTGACCTTTCCATGCTACAGGACAAACAGTTTCTGTTTCCCACGTCATCTGCCGGACTTTATATGTATCTGAAGATCGTAACCCTAATTATTCCTAGTAACGGACCTCTTTAATACTTCCTACTGCTTCTCTGCAGGGTCTCCTTGACGCATGTCCGAGTCATCTGAGGTATGTTTACTGTCCCTTATCGGAAACTCCTGGTAATGATAGCAAGTCTTAGCAATTCAAGTGTACCGAAGTACAAACCTGAAGCTCAGCCGGGCGCCGTCACCAGGACCTTGTCTATCTGCCCACAGATAATTTTTAGGAAATCCCGGATCAGCCCTCTCACATTACACTACAATTCCCAGCAACAGTTAGTTTGATACCATGAAAAGGCTCACGCAAAGCTGTCCTCCACTCGAGGAACAGTAAGCCCACACCAACTCTCACGACGTGATACCACCCACCGTTACATAAGTTCCAATCCAGACCACATCATAATACGTAACAATCCTGCAGCACCATAGACGAAGCACTCTCAGAGCGTCGAATCGAAAAGCACCCATTGCCATGATATACTCCGCAAAAACTAAGTATATATCGTCACGAGGTTGCAGAAAGTGATCAATATAGTCCGTGCGCCACAGATCCTCATACAAACAGGTATAGAGCGCTTTACAATATTCCCAATAATCAGGGTACCAACCCGACTGCTCCCAGTCGATCAGAACAACGCGAGTAGGATTGGAAGAGACAATCATATTCCGACGATTTAAATCCGCATGGGAGAACGTAATCTTCCCATCATCTGGCAAGAAGCATCGATTGGGATCATCATATCTATGTGGAAAGGGTAATTGATGTAACAGAGCAAACCAGTCATTGAACTCCTTGATATTAGAAAAGGGCCCAGTTCTCGGCTGAACGGTAAAGACATAGTCTAAAAGATGCCGGTGATTGATAGATCCTGGATGGAGTAAGTTAATAGAAAAAATACACAGGGGGTTCCTTGTCATACCGATAAATTGGTCGGAGGGGTGTTGCTCAAGCTGGCGCAGAGTCTTCATGATCGCTGATAGCTGGTCAGAAATAGCTCCCTTCTCTACGCTGCTTAGCGTTTGCCAGCATTCCTCGAGAGTTGGTCCCTTTATCAGTTCCATGTATATGAACACATGGCCTTTATGGTCCACGCGCCAGCCAAAGAGTTCTGGGACGGGGATCTTGTTTTTGAAGACCTTTTTGATCATCCATAGATTCTGTGCTTCGACTGTGGTCACAGAAGGGCCGAATTTGACGATCAGGTTGAGAGATTCGAATTGAATCGGCTTTGGCTGAGGGGTGAGACCGATATCCTTGGATAGAGCTCTCACTTCAGCGGGTGTCGGTAGGTGTCGGTCTGGACTGGTGAAAAATGAGGTGCCTGTAAAATCTAGCTCCTTTTTGGTGGCATCCGGTAGCTGCAGGGATATAGTCTGGTCGTTGAGTTTGTAGAGAACCATGTTGGAGGGGCTGTCGAACGAGTTCAAGGGAACAATGAAAATGCAGAGGGAATTCAGATATGCATCGATCAACAACAGTCACATCGGACCGGATTTATCGTCCGCCGTATCCCGATGATAGCAGCTACCAGAGTAGTAAAATAATTGAGTCCTGGAATATCCAGGAATTAGTATGGAGTACTCCGTACTAACTGGTGTATTCTGAATATTGTGGAGAAAAAAAGAAATGAACAGGGAAATGCTCACAACCGTCAGCGACAGGATTTGAACCTGTGCGGGCGAACCCAACAGATTTATGAAGAACCACGATTTGTGGTACGTTCTAGTCTGTCGCCTTAACCACTCGGCCACACTGACTTGGATGAATTTTAGTTACCTTATTTAGCTATATTATGGAATGTCCTTCTCCCAGGTAGTTGTTGCCACCAAGACAGGCAGATATGAAGACGGACTCCTTAGTTCCCAAGGAACATCTACAAAGCCATACAACGCATGTCAAATTATCAAGCTTTAGCAATCTGTCATACAGCCGGAATGTGGCTATCCATTTACTCGGGGCAATACAAAACCGTGGGACTGGGTCATTAATGTGCATCGGGATAGAAATGCAGATCGAACATTTACTGTCCGTACTCCGTACTCTGCATCACAATACAGCCACCTGTGGTACGGAGTACTCCACCACACAAAAAAAACCAGTGGATATCCGATAGAAGATGATCGAGAGGAAAAAGAAATTTCCGATGCGGGGAATCGAACCCCGAGCTGCTGTGTGAGAGACAGCGATGTTAGCCATTACACCACATCGGATGTTGTTAAAACGATATCTGTATTTTGGCATTATAAAGCAAGGATTCAATCCACTATCAACTCCTACCTCATGGCGAAACATGTTTCCATTAAACACGCCAAGCGCTGTCTAATCCTTCCGGAATATAATCTGAGAGTATTGATTACATGTTTGAAATATTTTAGGGACTGTTGAGCGTTTGAAAATGTGTTACTCCTCTGGTGTAGGGGTACAACAAGTTGAAGCCTTTTTCTGTGGTCCGAAATATATATATTGACCACTGGCATAGTGTACGTTTAGCTCATTAGTAGTTAGTAGCCAGTACTACTGGCAATCTGAACACAAAGATACTAGTACTGTATTATCATATTAGATTAAAATAGAATAACCCGCCCTTAATCCTGCCTCTTAATCATGTTTGCTGGGACTATCTCCACCAAACCGTACCCAGAGATAGGGTCTTTACCCCGGCGGCCCGTCACAGTAACATATCCTTCGTACGTTGCAAGCGTTCCTTCCGGATTGCATAGTTCTTGATCATCGCGAACGCTTGAGATCTTCAGCGTGGTTCCGTCAGCCAAGGACAAGTCCCAATCCAGAGGATAAGTGGACTTGGAGATGGGCGATGTCCATTCTCGCCTTGACGGTGTGAACCCAGTGACCGCAACGACCTGATGAATTCCCGGGGTCTCCCTGATGGTCGCGAATTGAAAGCGCTGATGATCAAACGTATCCCAAATCCAAACTGACATTTTCCGCTTCTCCACATGCAGTTCAAACCAGGTCCAGCTCGCCTTGGCTGACCCCCCCATCGGAGCAAGCGGCCACATCAACTGACGATCGTACCAGGTCAGAGAGCGTGCGTTATCAATGTCTATGGATTTCCCATTTCTAACGAGATGGCCATTAGTCGATCCGGCAGGCATGGACCATTCGAGAGTTTCCTCATTGCCGAATGGGAATGTTCCAACACCCCCATTCAAGATAACGGGAGTCGACAGAGCAAATGTGACGTTAAACTCGACGGACTCAGAGACACACCAGGTGCGCATAGCTCCCAGAGGTCTCGCGGGATCCACCGATACGAATCCATAATTTTTTGAATCAATCTTAAGGGGCCCTTCCTGTACGGGGGCAGCGCCGCTAGATTGGTTGAATATCCAGCTCACTTGCCGGTAGTATGTTGTATCATTGATATCTAGGATAGAGCCACGAAACAGAACGCTGGACGTATTCGGATTTGGCAAAGCGGCGTGGGCCAGGATCAAGTAGTCATGGTCGTCGGACGCATGGACAAAAGATGATGACCACCAGGAGTTGCTTGCCTTGCGATTGACGCCTTGTGAAGCTCCGAGCTCCTGTGTCAGCTGGATGGGCTTAGTCTAAGAATGTGCGACGGTGAGTATGCTTGTATCAATCGAGGTTCTCTGCAGTGACAGTTGCCTACCAGTTGTTCATACTGCAAGCCATCCATTTCAGGTTGAAATCCGAAGACCCCTGAAAGGAGACTGACCGAGACCACCAATCCCCCGACTAGGAAATCCATGCTGAAAAAGAAGAGAAGACAACAATGTCGATAATAAGGTCATCGATTGACAGTCAAATTCGACCTACGAGATGAGTGGCGGAGCGTCTGGTTGTTTAAATGTACTATCTAGCCCCGGCGGCCGAAGCGGACATTTTGCAAATGAACAAAGGACAGAATGATGTCTCCGGCGAGATTTGTACAGTACAATTCTAGGCCCATGAAAGTCTACCAGTGTTGGGCCGAGTAAAATGGTATCCCGAGGTGTTATAGGGTTGCGCTGGTGACACCAACTGGAACGAAGAAAAATCGAACAATCCGTCACCGACATATTGATAGGAAAAGTACGGAGTAGCAAAGAAGAGTGACACAGAGAAAGACTTGGTATTTGTTCTTTGTTCACCGAGACGGAATTCTGATGGGAACTCAATATCCTCGTGCTACCTCGTTATTCACGGGAACGCGTTGGTGCTCCCATACTGACCACCGGAGAAGAGTTGACACTGCGGAGTAACCAGACCGAACATGCTCTGAGTGGAGGTGCCTCGGGTCCTGCCGTCTGTGAACACAACGGAATTGGGGGTAAATGGGGATGTCGATCGGCTGTGGAAACCTGGCATGGGGCGTCTTTCTGTTTATCATTCCCGTCCGGTCCTTGTCTATTGCTCCCTCGGGCATAGAGCGTCAACGAATTGCTGCGTCAGGTTAAAGATTACGACTTCCTAAGGTAAATAAAGCTCAATAGTTTTGCTTGGATGGTCCACCTTTCGGGCAATATCGTAGGTGCCACAAGCCTCCAGCTGATATCTCCTCTCTAAGCAAATGATATGAGTGTGGTCAATTTAACCATTGGAACGCTGTTGCCTTTCTGGTCAATCCTGGGGTACATATCATTTCGCATGCCAGTCAATAAAAGCTCGTACGACCAATAGAGGAGCCATGGATCAGTTCTTTCTCATGTGGTGAATCTTTTCATGTTAGTCAAGCCGCAAAATTAGCCCTGAACCATGGTGCTGACCCTGCTGAATTCTCCCAGTGCATCAAAATCATGGCCATTCACTCTTTCAGCGAACTCTTCGTGGAATCTGGGCGACAGCAGCTTGGCTGGAGGTTCTCCAATGCAACCAGTACAAAAAAGGTCCTTTCTGCTTATATCAAAGGCGCTGAAAAGACCTCCCCAAAGGTGTCTCGCACCCGCAAACCTCTCGCTATTTCCCTTACTCCCACTGATGAAGATCCTCATCAAGCTTAAATTAGGTCTTTCCACCCGCCGGACGTCAATGTGACTATTACCATGTAACATTCTGTGAATAGCATAAGACAATGCTATGATATCACGATTGTAAGGGCCCTTTGGACTCAACCGTATTGTGGACAACCCACAATGCACTTATTTCTGCCGAGTTTGTTATACTAGGTGCCATAGGTAGCATAGTGGACTGCAATGGGACCATAGCCAAGGTCCAGTTCTCATTGCCTGGTTTGAAATGCCCTCCTATTCACTTGAAAACGCCACCCCTTCTGTGCGGAAGAAAAGACCAATGACTTGGAAGAATATCAAATTGTATGTGGTGGACACAACTCGATTTGATCGAGGGACTTTTCTGCGCGATAAGGACTTGATTGCTGCCTTCACCAAATACGACTAATATCTTTGGTGGATGGAACGCAGACGAAACAAATGGGACTTCTCCTTGGGTCAATATTTCTCTCAAGCGTCATTGCGGATTGCAGGTAAACACCAAGTGCTGTTTAAGAACGATCAATTACACCGTTTACAACCCCAGTTCACACAAACCTGCGTCATTTTCCCAGCAGAAAAGCTAGAATGGGCGCTTGGATTGTTTCGTCTTCGGCAGGCTATCTGGTCAAACCCTCAAAAACCAAAGGTCACCGGGAGAGAAATGAAGAATCGGTTGGAGGCCTTAAACGAAATCGTCAATATGTTTGACCCCGAATGGAGATTCACCATGGCTGTCTACTGGGCAGCATTGATCGGGCAGTTCGAAACAATAGACCCAGTATCCGGAGAAGTTAACACTGATAACCCTTTTTTTGCGTATTTCAGATCAGATATATCATCAGGTAGCTGCATATGATGAGATCTGCATTTCATGTGCTAACCTAGGGCACTCCTCCAGAAGGAATTGACTTAGACTCCAATGACACCCACCGGTATGGCATGCCTGAGTCGGAACGGGTTCAAACAATTCTTCGTGAGGCTCACAAACACGCTCGAATCAGGGAGGCCTTCGGTTAGTGTCTCGAATTTCCCTTGACTTTTCAGATATTTACCAGTCGCTAACGCCGAGGCATAGACCTCATCACAAAAGCGAAGGACTATCTCAGTGTTTTGAAAGAGGGAACTGATCTTAAGATCGCTGACCAGAGTCGGGCATTCGCTATGACTCTTAGATTCTCACTAGAACAGCTTCGGGACATACAATCCCTCTATGATCGAGTTTTACAGGAATTGAAGCTTCGGGGTGCATATGAAGTGTTTACAGAGGGGCTATATCCTTAGAAATTGAGAAAGGACTGCCTGATACTAAATGGAATGCTGTGCTGCTGTGTTTATCACGTGAAGCAAGATTGGAATAGGAATCGAACACTTGTCATTCATCTATCAAAGCCCTTTAAAACACTATAAAACACAAATCTTAGATCCTTTATCAAACCACTCAATCAAAATGCCAGCTCACGTCTAGTCCGCCTTGACTAGATATTGTGCATCAACCACGCTATAATCCAAATATAAATCCCACCTCAATGCTACAGCAAAAGAATAACCAACCCCCTCAAACGCCAGACCCAAAGACCAATAACCCATCAATACATCAAACACTACTCTGCGCAAAGCCATTATTCTCCCAAAACGGGCGTTCCTTCTGCTTACTCGAATCAAACCACCCAAACGGATCACAAAGCGTGACCAAGAACGGACGCCGATCCTCCCAACCCGGACCTTCCAGCTCCGTCTCGCCGTCCTGCGCAAGATAGACATTCGATAGGACAGGGAGGTATCGCCTAGGATGCAGCCAA